CTGCTACCTGTATACATTTTACCTGCGCACCTGTACAAATGTACCTGTTGCCGCGACTAGGGCATGTGTGACCTATCTATGCCCCGCACCCTCACTTACGATTGTTACAACAAATATATTCACACTGAATGTCGGATCTTGAGTTATAAAAGAGCTGGACACTGACCAATAGCAATCACGAGTCAAGTCACGTGACTATACTTACTGATAGCCATGATCTCTCAACATGTCAGTTAATTGTATGAGTGAATGACGCGGGCTTAACGACGCTTTAAACAGAATCTCACTTATATCACAGTTTGTCTGTTTAATGAGGGAGGAAACCCGAGGTAACCCTGGTCTCCTTGGTGAAGCCACCGACACAAGTATGGGGACAACAGGGATTAAAACCCACGATCACACGCGGTTTGGTTGCTCAAGGGAGATAGTTATCACTTAATGATTATCCTAAATACACAGAGTGAGTTTATTTTACGCCGCTTTTAGTAATACTCCAGCAATATCACGAAGGGAATCACCAGAAATGGGCTTCACACATTGCACCCATGTGGGGAATCGAACCCGGGTCGTCGGGGTGACGAGCAAACGCTTTAACCACTTGGCTACCCCACCAACCCATTAATGCACAGAAATAATGTCCATGGTTACTAATATCAAATCACGATCGGGACTAAAATTTACAACTGAATTCAAGTGTTTCTTTAACGTCCACTTTTGCGACATCGGCATAAAAACAGTTCGGCGTGGTCTATCAAATTTCCTCAAGTCAAAGTCTGAAGCAGATTACAGCATAATACAACATAGGACAACTTGACATATCCTACAGAACCTGTGCAGTTAAAATTCGCATAGACTGTGAGCAATCTCAGTGACATCGACAGGTACTCGGTCTATGCCTATCCCCCGGGGACAAGGCCTTTTTAACAGGTCACTAATGACTCTATCTGCCTCATTAGTCATACCGGCCACAGCCTTTTTTTATCACGGTCTGCACGTGGCACTTGCTTTTCTCGCTCATTGTCACTTTCCCGTGATCACGTGCAACAGGTGCTCGCGCAGCCTGATCTTTGTTATATTGGGTATTCCCAGGATGGTTCGCAAGGCAGTAGATCGTGAAATATTGTTGGCGTGAAAGCGGAACAGGTGGTAAATGTGTTCAATGGACGTGTGCGTGCGTGCGTGCGTGCGTGTGGATGGCAGTTAATGGTTGAGGTCTTCGCGTGTGCAAACCAAAGAACTTAAACATGCTTAAGCTTCATGGGCTTGGTCGCGAGCACTTCACTGAGGCTGTGACATATCAGTCTGTCAAGAGACTTGCTCCTTGTCAGCCTACAGGCGCCTGGGCCCATAATAGTGACTTAACGTTGTCACAATTACGCTTTTCATCTAAAAAAATCAACTTCTCTTATTGTTTGTAAAGAGACGATGCTTCTGGATTCCGTATTATGAAATCGTATTATGCACGAGTGTCGGCCAACATGTTGATAAATCACATATAGCAGCGAATATAGACTTGTATAAACTTCATTTTCATATTTAACTCGTTTATCACATGGTGTCAGTGTTCGGCAAAACGTGCGTCACGGTAGCAGGGAGGAGTCAGTTGATGGTGGACCAGAGTGTAGGTTAAATATAGGACGAACCGGTTCAACACTGGAACAAACCAGATGTTGACATGGCAACAGTCACAGTTACTTGTCTTGCATTTAAAAACCCAAACATTAATGTCCAGATAAGTGAATTTATCACAAGGCGATTAAATTCCCGCTCTTTCACTTCTCAGACAACGTATCTGCATGGCAAACAAACTATTTTTAAGGATTTTTGTACAATTATTAAATAATAATGGATGTCTCCTTATTAGATAATTCAAGCGAAATGTTAATTGCCTTGCGTCTATTATAATATTCTGCTTTTGTTTTGATGAACCGGTTTGGTGTGTTGAAGGAAGTATTTTCAAAGAATACAAACTGCACAGATGTGTTTGGGCAATGCGTTCAAGCATTATCCATGAACGAAATAAAATGTCAACCGTAGTATAATGGCTATAAAAGAGGCATTTCTTGTGAATACAAAAACACTCAAGGTAGAAATTCAAGAATGCGCAAACCTGTTTGTTTAGTTCAAGAAGGAGCATGACTCATGCCTACGTATAAATCTCAATATTGACAGAATCGATGCAACACGACATCTCACATGTGGTCCGTTTGCCACTACCCCCTACGGTAATGTGACGATGCCATATTGTCTGCATAATGTGCAGTCATTGTGACGTGGCACAACACTGCATATGCAGGCGCATGTGCTGCACGTGACCCCAGACAAATTCACCATTAGGTACGGCTGTGATTGATAATGGTTCCCCAATAATATGATAATGGGGGAATTACATGTCAGAAATATTCCGATCAGGCTGTCTCAACAGTGAGAAATTTCTCCGGGGTACTATGAGGAATAACAATAGATGAATATTGAATTAGAATAATATTTCAGGAAGAAAAGCTGGATAATGCATTAGAATAATATTTCAGGAAGAAAAGCTGGATATTGAATTAGAATAATATTTCGGATCTAAAATCAAATCTGAGACAGTAAAATCACAAGTGGTAATGAGCCCCGCTTGAATTATTCAAACCACCTTGGTAATGAAGGATCGAGCATATATCGTGGGCGGCAAGTTTGTTATAAAGCCAGACTCTTATGTTGCCTCACACTTAAGTGATAACCACCCATGTTCTTGAAATCTCAATCGTATTCAAAACCAACATGTCGGACAAGACCAGACCAATCATCACCGCCATGTTACACCAAAGAAACGAGCTTCAAACGCTTTACTAATATTACGTCAAGGACCTGTACAGTAGGGAAGGGGGTAGCTCTTGTCCGCCTTCTTAACTTATATCTGTGTTTGTATGCATGTCAAGTACTTGAGAAAACATCGCCAAATGACCCGCATTGAAAGAGCATTCAATGAGATTCAATATTGTTCTCCCAATGCTTTGAGATCTCATGTCCATGTACTATCATCAAGGCTTAGCCACTCAAACCAAAACAGCTGACGACAGGTTAACCCTGGTGAGGCTTTACTATTACATTTATTACACACTGAAGGCATTGGGGGACTCCAATCTCCAGTAGCCCCCGAGGCTGGTCTTTCAATGTCTGGTCGCTGTGATGTGCGGTAGAACAAAGGGTGAAGTGTGTCTGCGATAACGCCATGCTGTTACGGCAAGACGGTAACGTTAATGCATGTTTAAACTACTTCACTACCAGAGTAGGTTGAGAACGGTCACAGAACGGTTACAGGACGGTTACAGAACTTATTTTATTGGGGTCACGTTCGGTTTCTTAAATAGGTTATGTGTATTCCGGACTGATGGTGTACTGACGTCTTTAGGTTTAGAATAATGTTGTGTTATTTAGGCCACGTTTAATTAAGACATTACTGATAATTGTGAAATGTGTATTGTAGTGTCCTGGCGTTTTAAAGTTTCAGAATAAGGTATTTAGGCTACGTTCAATAACGACATTTCTGATATCTGTAGATTGTGTACTGGAGTGTTTTTAAAAATTCAGTATCGTGGTGATAATGTACTTCATTGTGTCCTGTGAGTGAGCGAGTGAATGAGTGCTGTTGATATTTACATCCAATGGTCGAGGGAAAAAATACCAGCGCCTTGAGCATGCACTAGTGCGTGGATATGTGCGCTATATAAATATCCTATAATAATAATAAAAAATGAATGTGGTATTACGTCGCTTTTAGCAATATTCCAGCAATATCACGGCAGGGAACGTTAGAAATGGGCTTCACACATTGTACCTATGTGGGGAGTAGAACCCGGGTCTTTCAGCGTGACGAGCGAACGCTTTAACCACTTGACCACCCCACCTTTGCCATTGTGTACTGACTGTGTGTTGTTTTAAGTTTAAAAATGAGGTATCGCAGTGACGATGTTCTGACTCTGTGTAATTTAGTCAACCCATTTCTAAAACTTCAAAATGATCATATTCATTAACACGTAGGTGGATGTACAGAAAACCTAAAAAATCATCGTTCTATACACTGAAGAGCTGAATCATGACTAACTTTTTCACTACAAGAGTTGGCGCGTTGGTGAATTGTTGCGGTGTGTTGCTGAGAGTGTTGGCCTGTGTGTACTCCCCTGAACCCCTTCCTAGAATGTCAGCCATGATTGTTGGGAAGCCAAGAGTCCAAAGTGGTCAGTCATCACGCATAAGCCGACAGGGACAGCGAGTCCACGTACAGCTGAGGTGTTCAACATTCACCACGAAGAAGACAATTTCCTCGGTCCATAACAAATCAGTGTGTTAGTTTCCCGGTGTTTTGACTTTAAATCAATACTGCTGTGATGTTGACTTAATCACAGACAACTACTTCCCTGGCAATAAAAGCTCCCCTACCAATGCTCTTTTACAAACAAGAGCTAAGAGTAAACGTCCTTACATGTCCGTAATGGGTATTCAGGAACAGTATCTTTCTGATTCATGTCCATATGTTTACTTAATTTGAACTGAAACGGAATATGCATCCAAATACTATTTATCATGACAACATATCCAAACCAAACGTCAATATCCTTCCAACCTGGACACGAGAATATGCTTATCAAATGTTGAATAGTATATGTAGAAAAACCTCGTTAACTCGAAGTCCTAAGTATCATCGTTAATATCGACTTATCCGTATTTCGAGAAACAAAAAATCCGGTGTAGTTAACGTGGTGCCAGTGCATCTACTGAGACAAAAGTCAATACATGGTTTCGAAAGGACCATGTATTGTTTTAAAAACAACAATCCAGACATGTGATTAATTTTGTGGAGCCCCAAGCATGCTTCTTTTCATCGTCCCGTCTACATAACGCCTTTGCAACTGAAACAGTTCGTCCCAGCATGCTTTGGACGATATCTTTAATCTGCCGCCATCATACTTCCGGTAATGAAATGAATTGAATAGTTGTATGACAAGCAGCCTTACCTTGTACTGTTCGAACACGGCGAGTGCGCGTGCGTAGCCTTCCTTGGAATACACACATATTGCCGACAGAAGTTCAAAGATCTGTTTCCTCACTGAAATGTCGCCCGTATCCAAACCTGCAACAGAGAGTAAATATTGATAAAACAGTTAATCACATACACAGTTTGTACAGTCGAAGGGGGGTTCAGGGGGTTGCAGCGTGTTGAGGGGACAGAGAGGGGCGAGAGGGGAGTATTTAGTCGTCAGGTTCTATGTTGACTTGTTGACATTGCCAATAAGGGCAACCAACGACAAATACTAGCAATTAATTCGTCCACAGGCTGAGTTTAATCAGCACACGCCTTCGTTCGACACCAAATCATCTCGCATCAGCCTGTGCAAAAAGACGGATTGTTTTTCGGGAAGTGTAACTAATTCTATTAATTAATCCCCAATCAAAGTCTACAATATGCTTGTTCATCAGGATCAGTGTAAATAACAAACATCTTGGTTGTATGCAATATTATCTCAATCCCACCACTGCCAAAAATTATAAGATCGTTTTTTTCTGTAATGTGTTGCCAGGCAACAAACAAACATTTACCTGTTTATGCATTATGTGGTTGTGACAACAGTAGAGCCGAACGTGCTCATCCTCTGTGACTAATTGTTCGTATTATAGATGTATTTATGTAATTAATTGAAAACCACTCCACCCTCTCATAATATTTCTTCGCATTTGTAATAAAGGACAACTCAAAATATTGAACACAAACAATAAATATCTTCATTTATTGCTCTGTATACAGTGTGTCCATTTCATCATCCAAACACCTTCTTGGACCAACACTGTAGGTAATTACTAGATCATGCTTTGGGCGTGATTTCTCTGAGAATACAGTGGGAAGGCGCGTCCTTAGTACTATACACAGCCCTCACTATTTCAATATCCATGTTTGTGAACTATCCCCCATTTTCTTTATTGAATTCAGATACGGTATGCCTTGTCTCCTCGCGTCAATGACCTGTGACAGTAAGATTTACATTAACAACTACACGGGGACTAGTTCTTTCTGTGTCCAGTTGAATGTCCCCGTGGTCATCATGTGTCCCTTTGTGGTTTATCGCCCAGGGATCAGCTGACCACAATGGCACGTGCAAGAGGTGACCCTTTTCAAGTCGCCGCCACATCTGCTTGTACTGTCATCTCGGACCAAACCGGACACAGGTGATCATCCGAGAATGTCCGACATAAGGGCACACTCTGCCAAGACAAACCCAGCTCATATCTTTGTATTTGCTTAAACATACACTTCCACGACATCAATAGTAAACCTCTGGAGCATTTCGGTGTATACAATCCCCCAAAACCCAGGTAGGTTTTGCACCTTATTCTTGAATTACTCTTTCAAAACGCTAGTATTTCCAATTTTAAAGTTCAATTTTAAACTAAACCGACACTTCCTATATCACGTTCTATGACTCGTCCGAGGTGCGCGCAGTGGTATCGAAAAAACTAAGTCCAATGATCTTCCGTGTTTACACAGACGTGGGAATTTTGTTTGCTGTTTTTTTTCTAAAACAGAACTGTCTCAATATTGCATGGGCCTCTGTGTTACGGCAGGAGTCGATGTGACACAGGAACTACACTGTTCGGTAGTTAATCGATCGCTGGATGGGCCGCAGCACAAAGAATACACGGACTGATTCATCATACAGAAGGCAAACTTCAATCAAATTTATAATTTTGCCCATGTATGGTAACACTGCCAACGTTGTTGTTGAGGTTGAGTTCGGTCTTTGTTTCCGAGTACGTGTCTCTTAATTTCGTGTCTCTTAATACGTTCTCTTAACGTAACATGCGTTTTATTAAATGCAATAAACTAGCATGTTATCTGCCACTGTTTGGTGTTAGCAACAAATATCAACCATGAGTATTTCTCAGACCGTTTCCAATTATCACTATTTTCCCAGTCTGTTGAAATGTACACCCCGGATCCGTTCGCCACGTTATGTCGTTCAGAGCTAAAAATAACATCCAATCAAATCACACCCGAGAGAAATTCAGCGCCACGTCGTTGACAAGATGAGGAGGTGACGTCATTGTCGTAACGAAACTTGAGTAGGGAACAGGGTTTTTATCATTATGAAAGGGCAATATAATACACTGTATGTTCGGATATGTCCTCTGATAGTGTTGGCAATAAAACCAGCAAGGGTATTGGATGTGTCGTGTTACAGAAATATCACAGGTCGTGCGATTTTTATGTACGACTATGGGTTTTTTCAGAGTCTCGTACCACTCAATCAAATTCTGAGGAAGTGTTAAAGTGGTGTCCCAGTTGATGTATATTCCGAGTAATCGAGGTGTTTTTTAGAGACAATCATATGCCAAAAATGAATGTCACGAAAGTTAATTATGGCTACATATAGACGTGTTTCTTTTCGTCAGCTGTTGTTGTAGAGCAGCATCAGACGTTGCAGGGGGTATTGCTTGATGACGACACGAGACTATGGGGAGGGGGGCAGGGTGACAGTGACTCATTCTCTCCTCATCTTCATCAACGTCTACTACCACTTCAAAGCCGCTTTCGTCTCTACCGGGTGGTGGAAGAAAAACACCTCTTTGATTAAAGTAAATACGGGATGTGAGTATTTGAGTCTGCCTGGGGATTCAATAAATATTAATTCAAAACTGTAACGTAATTCAATGTAAAGGTTCTTTTGAAAATGTATTTGAAGAGGATCAAATCTAGAACGTTCAGCAAATGTCGTTTAAAAACCAGAAGAAAGTCTGAAATGAATATGCAATTTTTAGAGTTAGCCAAATATAAAACATATTACATATTGACAGAATTCCCTTTCAGGTGCTGTTTGATATCTGTGGTTTGAAGTTAGAAGGACGCTTAGAAAGAACTCTTTTGTCCCTCTCCGTGTCATTTTCTGGCTGGGTCTGATGTAACCGTTCCTGGTTTGTCCACCGTCGGGTCAGCCCAGCTGGACGTGTAAAGGACAGGTAACTTCATGTCCACCCGGGGTGACCTCTCACCGTCTGGGTGACCCATCGGGTCATAGGTTATGGGATAACAGACCAACAAAACAAACACTGGCCCAGAGCCGTGTTACTAACAATAAATGCGGATTAGTGTTCATGTGGGTCTTAAGTCTTTGGAACGAGGGACAGGTACAGGGAGAATATAACGTTGAAGGAATGGGTGATGAATGGGGAAACTAAACGTTCAACTGACGGTGGAAGTTTCAGCAAAGGAACAACACCACTGGATCAGGGGTGAGGGTGGGTGTCTGTGGGTCGGGACGGTACCTTAGGGTGGGGGTGAGATTGTTTCGTGGGCGCCAAAATGAGCATTAACCATCTTGTCTTAAGAGTCGATGACCAGGGTGGGACCTAAATATATCCGTGTTTTCTGGGGTAGATCTTAGGGTGTAGGGATGGGTGTGGTACAGAGGCGGATCCAGAGGGGGTCTCCAAAATCCTGGATCCGTCCCTGCGGTGGTTACCGTTGGGTTAAAGGTGGAGGAAGAACTGAGTCACAAACCCATGGATACATCTGTGGGTAATGGTGACGGTAATGGTGCCGCAGCGTCTTAACGAAAACATAGCACTGAGCATTTCAAAATTACCAACACTATAGCTCCGCTGCAGTCTCACAGAGGTGAAGTCGCACGGACTGAGACAACCGAATTCCACAATTAACGCATAAGGAGGAAGCAGCCGTTGTTAGCTAGACGCAGACATATTGGTTTTTTATACAAGCCGAAATGGAGACGTCAACATCGCCATCTGCCGTATTGACTGAGTAAATCCCCAGCAGATATTAGCATGTTATGGAGAAAAAACCCGAAATATTAAAACAACTTTTCCAACACACTTTCAAACTCCAGTAACAATTTAACACTATTTCCAGTGCAGCCTTTACTTGAGAGCTAGGGAAAACTATCACTGTATTGTTTTTCTCCGTTTGAGTGACAAATGCTAATTTAGTAATCCTGGCTCACAGCCGTGACTCGTCGCTCTGTCATAGACGAAAAATTTGGAAGCAACGAAAATATCTGGGTTGCGTACATGTTATCAATATTGTTCAATAACAGATGTTGCCCTAAACTGAAGTTGCATATTTGAAAATTCTATAATCAACACATCACTAATAACCTTTCAAACTGTGAATACAAATATGCTTTTTAATAAAATCGACAAACTATTCTTGATCTAAATAAAATTATATTGGACATCATTGAAACCCCTTTTGCAAACCAGATGTCTCAAGCTGGTGTGAGACGGGTAGACTTCCCGGGTGGATGAAGTGTCCCAACTACCAGAGCGAGCGTCGGGGTATCCAGCCAGTTACCATTCACACTCGCACGCTCTACCCCAAACGCTATCACCCCTTCTATAACACTCTTAACCTCATGTACAGCGTCTAACATGAACCCTGAACAGCATAAATCGGGCAAGTGTAGCCATTGAAGAAGTAACTTGACGCATATAATGAATACTAACATATTTAATAGTATCCTAAGGCAAATATATCTATATTACAATACCGTGACTAAGGCCGGGCGAAAACGATTGAGCATGGACTAGATTCGCACATGTATTTATGACTTCGAACAGAGTCATGTTGTGGGGATCATTTGAAATATCGGATAAGTATTCCAGTATGATTTGAATATTATGCATGTAGGTACGTTAAACCCATGTCGCTGTACAGCTTAGGGATTAAATTAAATTTAACCTGGCTTTGTGTTCTTGGATAGGCAGTGTTGGTGCCATGAGTTAGATTTGTCGTTAATATCATCGCTACAGTACAAGCTGGGTCTGTTTGTTTGAAATATGACTAAATTAACTTGTTATTTCTTAACACGGAAGTTATTGAATCATTTCACCTAAAGGCTACAACGGCTGAATCATAAGACGCCTAGCGGGGTTGCCTGTGAGTTCAAAGAGATTCGCCGCTCTGAAAGTATAAAGTTATATCACGTATCTAAATTTGGTTTTATTATCTGTTTTAATTAATTTAAGATAACCATAAAGTTTGATATGTATATGCATTGATACGTATTCACAGGTAGATTTAACCAGTGCCAAACTCGAATGACGATAACGTTAAAATGAATTACCGCTATCACATTAACGTTTAAGGTGTTTAACAGGTATTACTCATACCTAGTGATAAAGCCTTACAGATCTGTTAAAAACAGTTCAATATTCCATATGCTATGACATTTTCATCACAGGTATGTTCATGATTGATAATTAAAAGGTTAAATGGGAACTAGCTGAAGTAACTACATAACAATGTGTTTTTTCCCCTTTGTGTTAATTTTACACTTACAAATACAGGTACCCGTCAACCATTCATGCTATTAAAAGAATCAACTTGTGGGGGCTATATTAAAGCTACATCTGAACCAGAGAGGGGGGAGGGAGAGAGAGTCGCTTGTGCGTTTGTCATCACTTGGAAATGTGTGTCAAATTGGCCGGCATCGCCTCTAGTCAGCAGAGGAATATGTCCACACAGACCTGAATTGGCTCAACTCCAGGGCGAACGCTACAAACTGAAACGGCAGGTATCACAGGTAGGTCGCTCAGGTAGACCAGGTGCGAGATGCTCCAGGTGATGATGGATCGACTGGAAACATCATCCCCGGGTGTGGAGTATTGTTTAAGCTACGTGACAGGTTTTACGAATATTAGCCTGGGGACGAATTGCGAAAACGATTAATTAGTCGATAATTAGCTCACTGTTTGGGGTTGTCAGTTTCCAATGTTCATTTCAAATTATTACCTGCTCGTAGTGTAAGCATCTGGATATATTCCACTTTAATACAAGAAAAGTGATTATAATGAACTATATATTGTTTTACGTTAAAAAGTGTTTTGTATTTTTTAGACCAAACAACTTCCGAAACAGAACCTGATCCCAGAGACTCAAGACTGATGAATAATCTGCGGTTTTATTAAAACGTAAAAAAATTCAATCAAAACTATTTGGTTAACACGTATATTAATTATCTACATATATAGATAAAGTGATTAAACTATATGCAAAAAACGCTGACGTGTGTGTTCTAGAACAGTTACTGTTTTATTCATAATTCACAAACACGAATCTAAAGTTTCTCAAAAAGCAACGATCCAGTCCCCCGAGACGAAAGGATTCTTCAGGTGAAACAAAATGCCAGAACGTTCTTCCGCCGCTACAGAGATCAAACATATCCCCCCTTCCCCTCCCAACTTCACCTGGCCTAAAGGCTACCTGTGTTGACAGTACGGTTACCTCTTGTCTCAGTCACAGTCATTTCAATACATCCAACATCACCTACAATTCCTTTACCTGTAACCCCTCTTCTTTCATAATTACGAGCACATCTGTCGATTTTAAACAACACATTAGTGATTAAAAACGCACTTAAAAGCAAAATTCCGCGTCAGCTCCCGCCTAGACCCGGCAAACATAACAAGCTAGCTAAGAGCAGTGGGCCTTGCCGCAGACCTATGTAGTGTATTTCTCTCACTACGGTGGCAGTTGTCAAATGTGTAACTGTGTTCAGCAATATTAACTTACCTGTGGAGAACTTGCGTATAAACTCCTCGTTTTCAATGATATAATCCAAGCTGGTTTGCGAACTCATGACTGCGCGTATACACTGAACAATCACAATTCGAAGTACCACACAGTAAAATCTCCCACTCTTTTGTCTTGTAGACTTGTCCAAACTTTTAAACAGTATCCCCAATCCATGATTGTGAAGAAAATCTGCAAGCCATTCGTCGTCGCATTTTAGTTTGCGCTTCAGCGCGATATAGGTTTGAATGCGAGGCGCTCGGTCTAGCGCTAACGCTGTTTCCACTTCAATGCGTGGATCGTTTGCTCTTACTGCCGTACTGGTCTTCGCTGATTGGCTTACAGCGTAGCCAATGACACGCTTCATCTTACACAAGCCTGGGCCATTGTCGAGATAGTAACTTTCATCCATTTTGAAAGTTTGAATTTCATACCAGCCTGGAAATAAAGAAATATAGATGTGATTAGTGCTTTTTAACGATTCCATACGACTGATGACATTCAGGAATGTATTTAAAGAACTAATTATTACAATTAATATTCAACGAAATTTATGTAAATTACATTTAAGTAATGAGGGTGCAATTTTACGCCAGGTATAACTGTAATCACAATAATTAATAACATTTGTTGACTATTCAAGAGTTTTTCTGCAAAGACCACTACTGTATGCGCTATTTTTCGTTCAACGTCGCCATAGAAGCTAGGATGGCAAGATTAAAATATTTGTAGGATTTCATAATTCGGAGAAAGAGTGGCATGCGTATCACATTTCTCAGGGGAAAAGAAGCTATTTCATATTCATGAGAAATTATTAGCAATGGTTTATTATTAGCAGCATACCTGCTTTTACAAGTTTCGTTTTCAGTGTATTAAAGCAGAGCTCCTGTGGCTCTTCGCTTGTTATGTAAACAAAATACGAGGAAGGTTACGAATGCGTTCACTGAAGCCATCACGCTCCGTGATTTTCTTTATTGAAGTTCTTTTTCTGTGTATTGATATGTAAATTTAATTTTCAAATATTTGACGAACTTGTGTACAAAAGAGCGGAGATATGTTATCACGGCCCTGCCCCTATCAGCTTCAAACAAGATATGGAGTTAGTCACATGCGTGGTCTACCTACCGGGACATAAATTATCTTAGATCATCGAGGTTTCGATACTTTTGCAGTTAAATCAAATTTATTTTCATTTCTTAAGAGTGAATAAAGTTGAACAACAGATCAATTATTTTAAATAAAACGTTTTTGTTTTTATATCATTTACGATATATAGTGCCCATTCATCAATAACCCTACTTAAATCGTCCGGTTTTCAAAAAATCAGGATTAACGAATTAAGTGTTGTTAGAAATATCCATTTAATTATAATTTAAATTTTAAAACAGTCATCGTAATTTCTATTGGTTTATAGGAGTAACGGACTGAAGGCTAAGCAGGTTTTGGTGTCGGTGTATCAGTTGCTGATTTCTAATGCGGTTAGTCGAGCTGACTTAAAGTACATGTAATATTGTATGGTTAGCGTAAACACATATGTAATATTTAAGCTGATATGACCCTGATGTGTGCATATGCAGGTCATATGCAAGCCAGGCGCTGGATTAGGCCGAGTGTTAAAATGTTTATACACCACTGAATAAACGCCGATGGTTGGGTGAGTGAGTGAGTTTAGTTTTACACCGCATTCAGCAACATTCCAGCCATATGGAGGCGGTCTGTAAATAATCGAGTCTGGACCAGACAATCCAGTTATCAACAGCATAAGCATCGATCTACGCAATTAGCGGCCTGTAAATGACCAAGTCTGCACAATTGGGATACGATGACATGTATCAACCAAGTCAGCGAGCCTGACCACCGGATCCCGTTAGTCGCCTCTTACGACAAGCATGGGTTACTGAAGATCAATTCTAACCTGGATCTTCACAGGTTTGGGTGAGTGAGTTGGGCGTCACTTTGAAAAGCCCTGCAGCAATAACAGTGAATGAGTGAGTTTAGTTTTACGCCGCACTCAGCAATATTCCAGCTATATGGCGGCGGTCTGTAAATAATCGAGGCTTGACCACACAATCAAGTTATCAACACCATGAGCATCGATCTGCGCAATTGGGAACCGTTGACATATGTCAACCAAGTCAGCGAGCCTGACCACCCGATCCCGTTAGTCGCCTCTTACGACAAGCATGGGTTACTGAAGATCAATTGTAACCCGGATCTTAACGGGTTTGGGTGAGTGAGTTGGGCGTCACTCTCAAAAGCCCTGCAGCAATAACAAAGGGTCACCCAGATGGCTGTACTCATAACGCTGTACTCATTATTCCAGTTCTACACTGTAAGGAAGATATCGACGTCATAATAATACAAGAAGAAGAAGAAGATACATCTTTACCACGAGAGACTTTACTACCTTGAAACCTCGTAAATCAGGACGGCACTGGTCCCCGTGAAACTGTCCCTATTTACAATATTCCACACACCAGATAAAGGAGACGTGGGTAAGGATAATTGACATAAACGTCACCAACAGCGATGGTCCGTTTAACGGGATTCCGGACAAACGGGGTCAGGGTTAGGGAAGTTTGATGATTTCTGCAGAGGATGACGTTCTAAAAATGACCTAGTAACAACGATCTTAATAAAAAAAATATTCAGTAATATAAAAATTACTGTATGCAGGATGATGCTGAATTTCAGTGTGCGTACAAATTTCGTGGCTGACGAAAGCACTGACAGAAGTGTTTGAAACTTTGGTATTGTATGTAAGTAAGAACGTTAGATTGGTATGTAAGTAATGGAAACGGTGGAACAGTATAAGGTGGGACAGTACAAGGTGGGACAGTACAAGGTGGGACAGTACAAGGTGGGACAGTATAAGAATTTCAACATTGCTTTGCAGTACGTGACATTTTCAAGAGGCTAAAAGTACATGAGAGATGTACATGGCATGAAAGTCTATAAAAGATGAAGTTGCAGTGTTATGAAAGGTGTGCATGGTATTGAAGTATACGAAAGAGTGAGTGGGTGAGTGAGTTAAGTTTTGCGCCGCACTCAGCAATATTCCAGCTATATGGCGGCGGTCTGTAAATAATCGAGTCTGGACCACACAATCCAGTGATCAACAGCATGAGCATCGATCTGCGCAATTGGGAACCGATGACATGTGTCAACCAAGTCAGCGAGCCTGACCACCCGATCCCGTTAGTCGCCTCTTACGACAAGCATAGTCGCCTTTTGGGGCAAGCATGGGTTGCTGAAGACCTATTCTACCCCGGATCTTCACGGGTCGTATACGAAAGAAGGGCATGGCAATAGTGTTAAAGTATACGAAGATGCGCATGGAAGGATACCCCCCAGTATCAGCATGACGTTCGATTGTGAGATGGACGCATGTCACGTTACGTCACATTACGTGGTCATACAGTGGTCTGGTAATCACATCCCGGGGGCGCTATAACAGTCGCAGTTTAAACTGCCAGCATATAGTTGGCTGAAAATGAAAGTCGTTCTCACATTTCACGCCGACGGACCAAGTAAAAATGGACGTTTTATTAACATTCATTCAAAGATCTATCTATAGGGAGTTTGTAATAGAGGATATTACAACAAACACGGTCTCATTGTTATTTTTTCGCGAAACAAAATCTCAAAACCTCAGTGTGTATTGTTTTTCACCGCTTTTAACAATAATTTTTCTAAGATCACGACACGGAAGTCAAGAATGGGCTTAAAACATTGTACCCGTGCGAAGAACCGATCACAGACATTGGTGTCCCGATTGTGACAGAGGTACACATAAGCTTAGTATCTGGGTAAATTACGCAAATATTTATGTGAAAACTCAATTCGTATTAAGTCTATTGCGTACAAGTGCGCTTGAACGTTTGTAAGTACTCAATAAATTTGATCTTACATGCGTACACACACAAATGTGATAGATATTACCGAGGACAGATCATATAACTGAGGTATACTGAGAGGTTCTATTTCCGCACATGAACTTGGCAACTTGCAGTCTTTCTTATCGTTTCTCACATTACAGATCAAATACAAATAACAAACACGTAAACCAACATTTAAATTTTATTATATTTTTATAATTAATGGAAAATGGCAAAATACCCAGTTGAGTTTGAGTGGGGTGGGTACAATTTATTTGGTTACTCAAAGGAAAATTAGGATACCCAATTGAGATGAACACAAGCGAGTACATAACTCAATGACTCAAAAAGTTATCTGTAGTTCTGATGTGAAGGTTTTAACCATGAACATTATACATACAAGCTACCCTAACCTTGTTTACAAGAACAGTATCTCTCGTTCTTAGCCAGCTACGCCATCTTCATATTAATCCAGTACAAATATTTCCTTATATTACACATAAACACAGTTCAACTGATCTACCAGCCGTTGGACGGGAGGGTCAAGGGGAGATAATCCCGTGGCCTTTTATCAAGGGGAGATAATCCCGTGTCCTCGTCGCTAATCCTTGTCCCTAATGAGGATCAGTACTGTATAATTGCATGTCCTGGCCGGGACAGCGCCGTGGGGGTCGGACCAGGCTGACCTGGTCACAAAGACCATCGGCTTTGGGGGTTACGATGACTATCAGCTTGATCGGGTTGGTATTACGTCATGGTGCTACCGAGGACTCTGCTATCTTCTTGCTGGTTGTCTTCTACTGACTGATAAAACAAAGATATGTTACTTCTTAGACCACGACCCTGTGTTTGTTATCTGCTTCCAGTGACAGAAAGAAAATATTAATTAAAACGATATACGGATTAACCTTTGTAAATCGTGTGACCTCATAGATAAATATTATGTTTCGGGGTTTTTCTTTGGTCATGATAGACCACCTAAATGCTAGTATCACCTGAACCCTCTCTGCTGCATATCATTTTTAATCTGTAATAATAATTGGGGGTTAGATTTGGCTGTTTTGTAGAATTGGTTAAACAGGTAGGTCTTTAAAGTCCTTTTGAAAGTGTAGAGATGTCCAACTTTTTGTAACTTCTTTGATTGGCATTCTAGAAGTTGGGTAGATGAAGAATGAGGACTATTTTTATGGATATACAACTTCTTTATTCTATGTAGTCTATATAGACATAGATTCGACTTGTTTGACAACGACATTAGAATCTATGTCGAAACGTCGCCTATATAGAATAAAGAAGTTGTATATCCATAAAAATAGTCATCATTCTTCAACTTTTGTAAGTCATCAGGCAGTTCATTCCACAATGTTGCTGCATTGAAGGAAAGGGATCTTTTCCCAAACCATCTAAGCTTTGGTTTCGGCACACAGAGGAGACACAGGTCTGCTTATCCAAGTTGTCGTGGTGGTTCATAGTGTTTTGTGAGGTTGTTATTGTAAGCATGCTGAGGACGTTTCCAACATTGACGCATGATTCACAGACAAATGGTCTTCTTTATA